TTCTAGAATCATAGCTGCTTATAACAGGAATGCATCTCACCGGTGATGGCTGAAGCTACCAGTATCTTATTCCTACAGACACAGGGTGGGATTCTGCTCATCAGCTTTAACTGCCAAGGTGGGCATGTTGTGTAAGGTGTCTTTCTAGGCTCTCTTTACAGTAAATGGCAGCACCTCTAGAGTGCATTGTTCACATCTGTTAATGTCTTCTAATGTATAGTCTTCTAACGTCTATGAATAGGTAGAAAGAATTCCTCAGGGACATCTCTTTCTTCATTTACAGTAGAGAGAATCAAGTCTCAGCTGAGAGCAGTTGCTCACCATTTAAATGGGAGTGTGGTAGATGCAATCCATGACATCTTTCATCCCTTGCAAGGATGAAATGTGGGATGAGGCTGCATTAGGCTGTTTGCAGAGATAATGGCTGTGTCTACATTAATGTTTTAGTTCACAGTGGGACTGTATTTTTCCTTCAAGTCAGCCCCATTTACGATGCTGTGAGTCACATCGTAGAGCAGCCTGAGGGTGTACAAAATGGGTGTCTTTCTGATGGCTTTAAGTGGAAGATACACTCCCAGGCAGCACCTAAACCACAATTTACAGCCAGTCCAAAACACACACCCCTCAAAAAAACCCCGTGTATTGAGTGCTGGGTCCTCAGCACCAACTGTTCTGCTCTACAGAACCGTTCCTGTTAGGCTGCACTGCTTGCCAACATACACAGAGACGGCTCATTCAGATCAACACCCCGTTCCAAACTTGCCTGTGAAAAACACAGGGAAAGTAGGATGGAGATTTTGAACTGACAAAAGGAAACAGGAGAACTGTAGGCCACGGAAGAAAGGTTGTAGTTGTGCCGTTCTGGTTGCAGCTGGGTGAAATGAAGGGGCTGCTGATCCCAAATGCTCTCAGCTTTCTTTTACTGCTCCTACAGCAAAGGTTGCCTCCCCCTCAGTGTAACTTGAAAGGGTATTTGTCCCTTGCCATGTTTTTTTCATAGTAGGTCAGGTTGATTTAAACACTGTAATAGCGAGGTCTGAATTGTGTTGCCACCCATCAACATAAAAATTCTTTAGTAAACAATCTCAACCCTCAAACCCACACAAGATTAGCTTAAAAATACAGAAGATCTTTTAAAACTCTGTTTTTATTTACCTGCTGGGTTTTACACCTTTGTGATTCATGCTGGCAGGTTTCTGGACAACAGTGGTCCTGAGAAAATACCTGTTTTCCCAAAGTAAAGCTGAGATTTTCAAGTAACTGCTGGGTCAAGCAGCCAAAGTTTAAGCCAGCCATGCAGTTTAGTGGTCTGTGATTTAGCACAGGCAAATCACAAAAATCACAAGACCCCAGAGTTTGTCCATTCTCCTGAGTTAAATCCACATGCCCCAGTCCTGTTAAACCTGTCATCTGGGGAACTCCTCGTGTGAGTATTACAAAAATGTGAAGGAGAAGAAAGGTTGTTTGATGGGGTCAGTTGGAATATTGGTCTGCCAGGCCGTTGATGAGTCTGGGCTAAGACTGTTAAGTCTCTAAAGCCAAAGCCTAAGGCAGTTCTTAGTTGCATGCTGTAACTTTTTTCGAGGGTTTTGGCTAATCACTGCAGTAGTTTTACCACTCTTGATTTTCTAATAAGAATTGTAAGATGTGGTTTAAAGCTGGCTCGTTGTTTAGGTATTAAAATTTTAAAAGATCATCTGGTTTTAATAATTCTGAAGAAAGGACAAAGACATACTGGGAATTACTTTCGATATTTCTAAGTTGTGCCACTGTTGCATTTTTAAACATTTCAGCAAAACTGATACTGTAGTAGGAATGGTGTTTATACAAAGACTCTTAAATTTCTGTTAAACAACTGCGCCGTGTCTTAAATGACAAGAAATTTTATCTAGCACATGCCAAAGGCATGCTGAAGATTTTTCCAACAGCACTGATTCATCTCCTTGAATTCATTTTTTCTTAGAGATACAGTATAGACAATCATTTTATTAACAGCCAGCTGTTTTAATATTCATTGCAATAAAGAGATTATTCTTCTACAGCCCTCAGCACAACTGGTTCTGCATTGTAGAGCCAAACCAGACTAATTACTGCCAGAATTAATGAGCCTTTCTATACCCATATGCCATATCCACTATAATTCATCTGCACTTTAATCACTAACTAAAGATTTGGAACTGGCTGTGGGGAGACAGGACTGGATGAAGTGATTCCTTGCAGGCCGGTGCTGCTTTGTGCCCCAGCCCTGCAGACAGTGGGCCAGCGGGTGCCTGCACAGACACACCCAGCACACGGGCTGTGTGCAGCACCAGCAGCCCTCGCAGGGCAGGAGCAGTGCCCAGCGAAGGGAGGACAGGCTGCTCTGCGCCCCCGAACCTCTCGCCTGGGACAGAGCTGAGACAAGCCTCAGAGCCCTCTGGGGCTTCTTCTGGTGTCACTCCAGTGCCAGGCGAGTGACTGCTTTGAGTGACTTTCCTTAGCAATATATGTTGCACCTTTAAAACTCCACAGGGTGCTGTCTCTGTGAAATTATACAAATGTAGTACATTTTTATAAACAGCTGATTCATCGGACAGCTTAAGTCTTATGTTCTGAGGAGCAGAAGTTCTGTCTGTACCACTGACAGAAAACCCTCACAAAAGCAGTTGGGAGTTTTTCTAGGAGGAGCAGAAGGAAGCATGGGTCTTACAGTAACACTGAGGAAAATGCCTGGCCCTCATTTTGCTTTCTTATCTGTAGATATTGCAGCATTCTACAAAATGAAACAGCTACAGAAGCATCACTTCATAGAGAGGAAGCTGAAGCGCAGAAAGTTAACACAGTTTTCCCAAAACCTGATGATAATTTGGTGGGATAGCTGCAGAGAGAACCCACATCTAAGGACTCCTACTTCTGTGCCCTATCCACAGAAACGTGCTGCCTCCCAGTGCTGTCTAGATACACCAGGCATCTGTGGAGCTGTATTTTTAGCCCTAATACTCTGTTTGGCTGGAACTGGGCCATGAAGATTCACAGTAAGCTAAGGACTGTAAATACCCCTTAGACTTTATGGGAGGAAAACTGGCGTAATATCAAAGCAGAACAAGCACTTTCTTAAATTTCAGTTTTGTTAACTGCTCTCATACTTGAAAGATTTCCCTGCAAAATAAGAAAGAACCAACCAGCTGCAGCATGTTGTAAACAAGCAAAAATTAGAAAGAAGAATTCCTGCAGACTTTATCGTGTTATGACAACAAAATCAGTTTTCAAGAACTACAAATCATGGAGGTTTCAGGGCTTTTTCAGACTTAATGACTTATGCTGGTCATTAAGCCATCAACAGAAAACAATCTTTTCATCTCCCAGTAATAGAGTAAATATTTGTTTTCTCCCAACCCACTCTGTTGTAGAAGACCAAATATCCCCATGCATCTCAGATGCACAGGCCTGTCTCAAAATTACATTACAAAATTACATTCTGCGTGTCATGACAGCACTAGTCCTAAAGAATATGAAGATTAGTTGTCTCCAACAAACACTTTGTTCCATTAAGCAAGTAGTCCTGAGGATAGGGGAGAAAAAAAAACAGAGTTCTGCTGCATCCTGAGTGACTTCTGAGTGAAGTGCTAGGGGAAACCAGAATGGTGCAGTCTCTTTGGTGGGACACAGGGCGGCTTCTGCAACAAAGAACTGGGCTGCTTTTACAGAAACATTTTGTAGGGTTTCAAGACACAGCACTTGTTTTGCTTGTAAACGAACAACTCCTTGTCCCTCAATGTCCTGTTTCTGAGTGGAAGAATTTTTCCTGGTAAGTCAGTGCCCTAAATTAGTTTTTCTGAGACGCTGGCCAGTGTGATTAGCATTCACGCTGCACAGGAAAGAGCTTGGATAGCATCTACATTCATTCTGCTTTTCTCTTCACTCCAGACACTATTCCTTCCGCTCAGCAGTCATTCCCCTGGATACCATTCGTTTCTGATTAGCACAGGCCAATTTCCCCAAACCAGGGCTTGCAGGCAGGACGTTTCCCATGAAATCCTCTCACATTACTTGCAGCCAAAGGAAATGAAAACATTAAAACCTACCAAGAGGGAAAGCTAAAATTGATATTGCCTTCAGTGTATTACTTTCTCAGTCTTGTTCCCTGAGGCCACTCAGATGGTAAGAGGCCGCTAACCTAATAAGTAGTTTGTGTTTCTTATAGAAAGAACAACTTGGTTAATAACCTGAAAAACTCAAGCCAGGCTAAAGAACTCTGTCCTGGTTTTGGTGGGACAGAATCCCAGGCAGCCATGCTCTGCAGGCCATTAGCAGTTTGGAGTCAGGGGAGCTGACCCCAGCTGGCTACAGGTGTATCCCAGACCATGAACATCATGCTCAGTATAAAGGGGAAGTCTGGGGAGACTGGGGGGTGTGGGGGTGTTCCTGCTTGAGTTCCTGCTCTTGCATGGGCTTCTGCTGACCCTGCATCTTTGCCTTCTGCTCCTGAGGATGCTTCTCATTTATTGTGACCACTGTACATTCACTGGGCTGAGTATAACTTTATATACTTTACACTGCCATTGGTACTAGTTGGGCTGTTTCAGTAAATCTGTCTTCATTTCAACCCATGGGTCTCGTCTCCTTTTCCCCCTTTTCTGCTGGGGAGAGGTTATCGGGTGACAGAGCCACTGCTGGAGTTTAGCCCTGAGTACAGGCTAAATGGAGACAGACTCTCAGTATCAGATGATAAATACAAGCATTCTGCTACCTCTGGGGTCTCTGTGGGTCTTAACCTGGGCAGAGTATAAAAATGCTGCTGGTGCTGTAAACTATTTTTGCTGTAACACATTATTAATACGTAATGTCTGAGCGTTCTGCTGCTGCAAAGGGAGGAGGGCAATTAAATTGTTACCTCAACATAGAGAATCTGCTGGACTTTCTTTCCAACTGCTCGATGAATGGGCAGGAGGGACAGTGTTAAGCCACAAGGTGTTTTTGGGCCACCCATTGTAAGAGCAGTGTCATATTTTTTTTTTCAGAATGAGGTGGCAATGCTGCTCAAGCCAATATCAGAGAAGATTCAGGAAATCCAGAACTTCAGAGAAAGGAACAGAGGCAGTAAAATGTTCAACCACCTCTCAGCTGTCAGTGAGAGCATACCTGCCCTCGGGTGGATCGCTGTGGTGAGTGACAGAGAGCAGGAAGGCTGGGAGGACTGCCAATGCCCTTCTGGGTAGCATGGTCCAGAATTGTTCCAAGTCTTGCAGAACTCTGCAGTCTCACCTCCATAGTTCTTCAGCCTACTCCACCCAAGAAGGTGTTTTGTAATATACCAAATACATCAAGGAAGGTGTTTGACTAATGTTTCACTTCCTTTCTCCTTCTGTTGTGTCCTGCTACCACGGATGGATGGTCCCAGTCTCCTAAACCAGGCCCTTACGTCAAGGAGATGAATGATGCTGCTACCTTTTATACTAACAGGGTATTAAAGGACTATAAGCACAGGTATGTGGCCAAGCCCCAGTATGCATTAGCCAGAGAACAGAGCGTTAAGCACACCGACAGGGTTCACAGTGCCATTGCAGAAAGCAGTTTGTAAGCTAAAAAGCATTTGATCAGGTCTGTTTGCAGTGGTGTATCTTCCCCACCTCACCCCTGACGTGCAGCACGTGGCGGTGAGGACGGCAGCAGCGCTAGGGGTGCTGGCTTCCACCCTCTGCACGTTACAGGGCTCTCTTTGAATCTCTGCCATCTCATCATGAGCTTATATGAAAATACATATTTACGTATCAGTGTGTGGCTAGCAAGCTGCTACCCAGCCCTGTCTCAATGCCCCTTGAAGAGTCATTCATAAATCCTGTTGATTTGGTACTTCTGGAGGGCAGATTTTGGCTCTTGATTTTTCTAGCCCAGTGAAGAACCATATTTGCTATTGAGTTTTTCTTATTCAGTGAGGAAAATTTTATACATAAAAAACCTTTTTGTATATATTTCTATTTATTGTATATGTATAATACGATATACTATATATTTCATAGAATCATAGAATGGT